AAAGTATTATAAAATCTTTAAAAAACAAAATATTAAATTAAAAATTAATATTAAACTTCTTAGTTTTTTCAATACTCGGTTGGGAAGCTGCAAGTAGCATTTAGCTGTAATGAAACAAAGTTATGTTCTTTGAATGCACCTCTCACTGGATATAGTGCTACTTATGTCCTGTTACAAGTTAAGGGTAACTAACATGCTCCCTCTGCTGGGTAGCTTGCTGCCTTGCAGCAGAGTAACAACAACACAGTACTGGCTCTGATACAGGTGTTAATGTTATCTTCATCTTGGCCTGTTTCTAATGTGATGTATTACTTGTAGCACCCTACGGCTCTCTTCCTGGAGATAAAATAATTATAATATTCACTCTTCTGACCTTTATGTGCTGCTCTGTGAAAGCTTTCAAGGGCAGCAGTGTAAATTAACATCTTTAACATCTTTTGGAATTCCAACACTTCAATTTTAGGTCTATCTTCTCTTGAGGTAGGTCATTAGTTGGGAAGCCTTTTATGTTGTTTTTTTTTTTGTTTGGTTTTTTGTTTGTTTGGTTTTGGGGTTTTTGTTTGTTGTTTTTTTTCCCCTTAATATTTTTGAGTAGAAAGAAGTTGAGTATTCAGACCTGTGAATGGTGTTTTGTTAGTGCCAAATACAATTTAAATGAGCAGGAGTATATATGCCCAAAGAGTTAACAATTAAAAGATTGTTATATATAAAAACAACTTTCCAAGTGCAAAAGCTTTCTTAGTCTTGTGTAGAGAATTAATAAACAATTTATGAAATTCACTACAGTACTTGTCTTTTTGCTATGGAAAACAAAGACCTAATTTTTTTTTAATTATTCTATAATGGCTTTATTAGTCCCTTTTTCTGTGCCAGTTCTCTTTTGAGAACACTCTTGGGTTTTTTTCTGTATCTCAAGCACATAAACTGGAATCAGTTTTCTTCCATGTATCTATTTCATGCATACATACTATTTTAAAATTCTCTCTTAACATTTGAAAGTACTGACCTTTTCCCTTCTGTATGTGCTGATAATATTCTTCATCTTCTTCATCTCTCATCTTTGCTGCTGTTGTCCTTTATTATCCAGATCTCATGTTTCCTAAACCCCTAGTTCAAAGCATAGCTGGTGTGTTATAATTCTGACCATCCTACTCATCTCCTTGTTTTCTTTGTCTTGCACATTGTGTTCAGGCAACCTGTAAGGGGTCTTAATGAAGATGGTGATTCTGTCCCTTGTATTGAGGACACCTACTTTTACTTCAAGAAGAGAACCCTGCTCTAAATGTATTGAGAGTTGTAAATGTTATTTACTTATTTTTATATGTATCTTGCCAGGAGGTATCAGGTGATATAGTTGCATTCTTCATAGCTATGTTTGTCACTTGAATTTCCTTCTCTGTTGTCAGTTATCCTCATACTTATTGACAAAGCCAAGACACCTTGATTTTTGTTTGCATAGCACCCAATTCAGCAACCTGACTTGGGTCATTTAGCGTGGAAACTAAACCAATAACTTGAACAAACTGTGATGCATAGCTTCCAAGCATATATCTGACTTTGACCATTCTAAGACTGTCTTCATGTGCATTGCAAGTTAGTGATGATCCACTGGGTAGTGGTCTCTGGTGTGGTATGGAAACATGGCCCAGTAGAAGGCAGAGCTCAACTCTCCGAGTTTTATTGGTGGGTGAGTGCCTCTCACCATAATTCTGTGTGTTATCTTCAGAGGAAAAGAGAGAAGTGTAGAAATAGCTGGGTATTATGTTAGGCAGTAGAGTTGTTCAGTATCTTATTATGGTATAGTGATCCTTTGGAAAGGTGGTAAACAAGTTCTACTCTGTATAACCTAAAATGCAATATTAATGCTAAATGCTTTATGTTATCTAGGTGAAATAAAGTGAGACAATATTTGACAACTCTTTAGCCATTAAAAGTGCTTAATGCTATGCTCAGTTATGGCCTTTTATTGTAGCTTCTTTTATTCTACTTCATTATATATTTGACTCGGTTCTCCAAATTGGTAAGTTCTATGTGCCCTTGTACTCCAGTGATCCAAGTCTCAAACATCAAAGGTACTGTGTGAGTTGGAATGAAGAAGTAGAGCTGTAGGTAAAAGTGGATTTGTACAGGGCCTTGAAAAGTGCAAGTGACTTTTGTTTGTGGAACCAAATGCAAGGAATTTTAAAATGAGGATTGACTTGTGAGCAAAAGTTAGTAATCCAGATAGTGGGAGGTGAAGTGCAGAAGACTCTAGTTTACCACATGTGTAGTGGTGAAAATTATAAATAGGTGAAGAACTTAAAGGGAAACAATTATAGTTCTTTTGCTGTTTGAATTTTCATTAATAGCTGGGATGCTTGCTGTTACTGGTCAGGTTTTTGTAAACCAAGGGGAGAATACTGTTGTGTTCCTGGACCCAGTCTGGGATGTCAGATATGCTGGAATTTGTCTTTGAATGCCTCTTTTTAACTTGTTGCAGCTACTTCATCAGTTCTAGCACCTAAGACAGAGCCTTCTCCTTCACTACCTTCTGCTGGTTCTCTGCCTAGCATGGTATCCACTACTGCTTCGCTTCTGCCTTCGGCATTACAGCACACGGCAACGTTGCCCAGCTTGCCTCAGTCCAGTGATTTGGCCAGCAGCTCACTTTCCCAGTTAAGCAGGTACAGTAGGAGTTGTGACAAACTGAAGGGGTTTCAATTTTGGGGAAAGGGCAAACATGAGGGCAACTGCATACAGTGCTGTCAGAAACCATGGTCCCCTTCTCTGACATTAACTAGAATTAGGAGGAGATTCAGAAGAGACCAGGATGTTTCTGGTTGCAAAGTATGAACTCTGGGCTGCATATTAATGATAGAGCAGCTGCTGCCCTCAAGCTTTCATGGTATATAAACAACTGTTTTTTCAAGGGGCTCTTGCTTCAATCATGCCAGCTAAATTGATTCCCTCACTTTGTTTTTCCTGCCTTGTCCACAATGCCTGCTGTTTGTTTAGTGTTGTATGATTGAAATCATCCCTTAACAGTTTAATTCCTGGATAATTTTGAAATACTGTAGTTTCATTTATATTTGTATTTCTTAAAATTAAAAACTAGAAATAATCTGACGGGATGCAATACTGGACCTGATGGTCACCAACGCAAGCGAGCTCATCAGGGATGTCAAGATTGGAGGCAGCCTGGGCTGCAGTGATCACGCACTGGTGGAGTTCATAGTCCTGAGGGATGTGAGTCAGACAAGGAGCATAGTCAGAACCCTGAACTTTAGGGAAAGCCAACTTCCAGCTCTTCAAGGAGTTAGTCAATAGGACCCCTTGGGAAATGGTCCTCAGGGACAAGGGAGCAGAACAGAGCTGGCAGATCTTTAAGGATGCTTTCCATAGGGCACAAGAGCTCTCAATCCCCAGGTGTAAGGAATGGAGCAAGGAAGGGAAGAGACCAGCATGGCTGAGTCGAGACCTGCTGGCTGAACCAAAAGGCAAGAAGGAACTGCATAGGCAGTGGAAGCAGGGACAGGTATCCTGGGAAGAGTATAGGGACACTGTCTGGCTGTGTAGGGATGATGTCAGGAAGGCCAAGGCACAGCTGGAGTTGAACTTGGCAAGGGATGCAAAGAACAAGAAGAAGGGCTTCTACAGGTATGTCAGTCAGAAAAGGAAGGTTAGAGAAAGTGTATCCCCCTGATGAGCAACAATGGCAATTTAGTAACAGCAGACGAGGAGAAGGCTGAGGTTCTCGACAACATTTTTGCCTCAATCTTCACTGACAACCTCTCTCCTTACACCTCCCGAGTTGAAGGACCACAAGACAGGGACGAGGGGGACAAAGTCCTTCCCAGTGTAAGTGAAGACATGGATCGTGACCAGCTGAGGAAACTTAGTGACTGGAAGAAAGCAAACATTACATCCATTTTTAAAAAGAGTAGAAAGGAGGACCCTGGGAACTACTGACCTGTCAGTCTCACCTCTGTGCCTGAGAGGATTATGGAACAGATCCTCCTAGAAGCTATGCTGAGGCACATGGAGGACAGGGAGGTGACTTGAGACAGCCAGCATGGCTTTACTAGGGTCAAGTCCTGCCTGATCAACTTAGCGGCTTTCTACAATGGAGTAACTGCATCAGTGGACAAGGAAAGAGCTATGGATGTCATCTATCTGGATTTCTGCAAGGCTTTTGACATGGTCCCCCACAACATCCTTCTCTCTGTGTTGGAGAGGTATGGGTTTGATGGGTAGACCATTCGGTGGATAAGGA